AAAATAATCCAAGAACATTGTCAAGAAATTTTGATAATTATTTTAATGACAAAAGTTTTGGTATCTTTTGGATTCGTAATTTCTCTCAGCCAAATGCTGGTTTGTAATATTAATTTTTTGAGAAGCAAATAAGATAATAAAATTTTGACATAGTCACACGAAAAAAAAAAAAAAATTATGGAGTTGACAAGAAGAAAAGGAAACTTTGGATATAAATAAAAAGTAAATGTGAATTTTCAATTTTGTGGAAGGTGGGTTAAATTTGACAAGTTTAAAAGGCAAGCCAAAGACGAGTCTTGTTTAAAAGCCAAGTACCAACCGTACAGTCATCTTCAATTCTTCATTGCCTTTTTTCTGCCGCCAAATCTTAATTTTGCCTTTTTCCTCCACAAAGCTTTTCTTCTCTTCTTCCATGGCCGATTTCTGCTGCTAAGCGCTAACCAAAACAAAAATCATCTCCGGTGATCTCCTTGACGGAAAAAAATGCCTTCCGTTCAAATGCGTTCTTCTCCGTCTCTTTCACCGCCGGCGACGGTTAACGATCTCAAGCAACGAGTCATCGCCTGTCTCAATCGACTTTCCGATCGCGATACTCTATCTCTCGCCGCCGCAGAGCTCGATTCAATCGCTCTTAATCTCTCTCCGGAGACTTTCTCTCTGTTTATAAACTGTCTCCAAAGCACTGACTCTTCAGCCAAATCCCCGGTTAGGAAACACTGCGTCTCGCTCCTCTCCGTACTCTCTCGTTCCCATGGCGATTCTCTCGCTCCTTACCTCTCTAAAATGGTCTCCACCGTCCTCCGCCGTCTCCGCGATCCCGATTCCTCAGTCCGTGCCGCTTGCGCAGCCGCTTCCGTCGATATGACCACAAGCATCACTGGACCGCCTTTCTCAATCCTCTTGGGGCCAATGATCGAAACGCTTGTCCACGATTGCGATCCTAACGCGCAGATCGGTGCTGCAGTGTGCTTTGCGGCCGCAGTAGACGCGGCGGACGAGCTTGATGTTGAGCAGTTGCAGAAAGCGTTGCCTAAGATTGGGAAATTGCTAAAATCAGAAGGTTTCAAGGCGAAACCGGAACTTCTAGGAGCTATTGGGAGCGTAATTAGTGCCGTTGGCGGTAGAAACACAGACAAGGCCGTGCTAGATTGGCTTTTACCGAATGTCTCGGAGTTTCTAAGCAGCGATGATTGGCGTGCGAGAAAAGCCGCTGCAGAGGCAATGGCTAGAGTTGCAATGGCAGAAGAAGAGTTTGCTCCTTTGTATAAGAAGACCTGCGTAAGTATTCTTGAGAGCAGAAGATTTGATAAGGTAAAATTTTCGAAAAGTTTGCAATCAAATTTATCCTTTATCTCAATCGTTCTCTGTTTTTTTGTTCTTAATATCTTCTTATTTCTTGCAGGTCAAACTTGTTAGAGAGACGATGAATCGTACATTGGGTTTATGGAAGCAGCTTGAAGGCGATTCTACAGAGGTCTCAGAGTCTTCTTCCTCCTCAAAACCAGCTTCTTCTGGTTTGCCTGCGACTTTAGGGAAAAGAAACAACACATTGAAAAGCAAAGATAGGAATTTATTAAACGTACCATCAAGCTCAAAGCAGGAAAATGTTAAGCACTCTGATCTTAGCATTACTAAAGATGTTGAGCTGGAAGCTGCAGAGTCGAAAGAGAAGCGGACTGAAAATCATTCGACACTGGGAGCTAAACGTGTTCTGTTCCAGGCGAAGCCAAAACCGTCTAAGGTAAAAGAGAATGAATCTAACAAGTCACAAGTTGTTCAGAGAATTGAAGAGGAGATTCCTGAAGCAGGCGGTTCTTCGCAGGCAAATAATGCAGTAGAGTTGTTTGAGATAAGAAACCAGATCACTCAGATCGAAAAGCAACAGTCCAGTCTGTTGGATCTCTTTCAGGTTAGCTTCTTTTCTCTGAACAGATTGATTTTTGTTAACTTCAATTTGTGTCGTACTGACTTTTGAATGTTCTCTTGCACTTAAAATTGCAGCGGTTTATGGAGAGCTCACAGAATGGAATGCAATCTCTGGAGAGACGAGTACGTGGTCTAGAAACATCCCTCAGCGTAATCTCCACTGATTTGATAGTTACTCGCACGATAACACAAAATGGAAACCACAAACGAAACGCCTGCCTACAGAATTGAAAAATCCTGAAAGCTCATTTTACTCCTGATACAACACTTCAAAGTTGAGCTTTGTGAAGAAGATTCATGGGTTTATCTTGAAATACAAAAACTCTTGAGCTAATGTATATTTGCGAAGATTCATTGCTTTATCTTGAAATATGTAAACTCTTGAGCCGATGTATAAGTATTATAAGTTTGAGATTTCTGAAGCTATTTTTACATTCATTTCGACTTTGTGTAACCACATTATCGCATAATCAACAGTTCTTTCCCAGAGTTACACTGACCCAAGTAATGGTTAGTTACCTTTTGTAATTGATGCTTGTAATGTGTTTTCCGTTTTCCCGGTCTGATTGTTTTCAATCTGTTTCTCGGGAAATCTCAGCAGAAGCAATAAAATATCTTCCCAATGTAGCATCTAGCTTCTCCCCAATTGAAGAAATCCACGCCTAGATATGATGAGCAAACTAACTTATTGACTTGTTCTGTTAATTTTTCTAAAGTCACAAACAATATAAAGAAGTTATAAAAAATTTCCCTACCTGGTCTGAAGATGTGAAGCCTCTAATTGTGTTTCCGCCAATAACTATGATTCCTTTATCACCAAGCGGCTGCAAAATCACCGCCTAGCAGAGCGAAAACAAATATTTTGTTGCACAGTTGTTTGATTATTCCCTCAATCGATGGAACTATCCTCGAACTCTCAACAAACCTGTGTATTTGCAGGCAGAAATGACAGCTCTGATCTCCCAGGATAAAGAGAAAGATTGGCCAAGTAACTCTCTGACAAGAAAAATAGTTTTCTTATCTTAGATAAATGCATATTTTCATAAAAATATAAACCAAAAATTTGTACTCCTTACYTGCTTTGGATTTCATTACGCCTTTGTAAACCGATCCTTGCATCAGCTTATCAGTGTTTACTATAACTGCTTTGCTGTCTTCTGGAGATGCAGCAGCCATACCGATTTGAATAAGGCACATGCCGTTGTAGACAATAACCAAAGACTTACAACATGTTGCTTCCTTAAGAGATTCCCAAGCCCTGAGAAAATAGACAAGGCTCTTATCGTTCCACACGAACATTCCCTCTTATAAGAAATTGTAATAAGAGATTATGAAACAGAAGATTACCATAATAATTCGGACACTACTGATGCAGGAAGACTTGATTCTACAACTTTGCATTCCACACCTTCAGGTTCTACCTGATATCAAACAAAACAGAGAATGGCATTGCTTATCCAATCCTCCAAAATTGTAATGACCACTCTTGATCATTTTTTAGGGAAATGGTGAAAGATTTACCGGTATTATAGACTTAGGTCGAATCGATAACCATACTAAACCGGTCAATAAATTGGTGACTGCCAAGCCAAGTGCCAATAGATCTGCTCTAGACTGTGAGCTACAAATCACAAAACAGATTGATCACATTTTTCTCTTTTCTTGACCTCTAATCACATTTCTGAAAATACCTAACTGTAACTCGATTGAGTTTTTGTTTAGAGAGAGTAATATGCATCTCTAGCTCAAATCAGATAAACCCAGCTTGTAAAATCTCACAATTGCAGACATTTTTTACCTGCTAGCATCGGCAACGGTAGCGATACCGGAAACAGCACGATTAAAGAGAACGGCCAAGAGAGAAGCGCCACCGACGTAGATAGGCAAGCTTCGGACTGAGTCATCGTTTTTGGAAACGAAATCAGCCACCAAATTCTTGTTCGGTTTCGGGCCTCTGTAACGTCTTGGTTCCTGGTTACTCGAAATTTTGTAAAAACCAAAAGTAGACATAAAAAAATAGAGAAAAGAGAGGAGCAATGAGAACCTGCGAGGTTGGAGAAGAAGCTTTGATAAAGCGAGGGGAAGCGAAGGGAGAACGAGAGAGTTGGTGATTAGGGTTCCGAATTTGGAGGATAATTCTGGCTTCCATTGTAGAATTGTTGCAACTTGTGAAGATAAGTAGACGACTCTCATTCTTGTTTTTGGTGGCAATAAATCTATAATATAACAAGAGGCAGCATTTTCCGGCGTTTGACACGTGGTTGGCCTCTTTGATAGATACGTCGCTTTTTTTTTTTTAAGCGACCCAGAAAACTTGTCACGGCTTTTCTTCTTCTTCCTCACTCCCAAAACCTTAATCTTCTCCGGAACGAGGACCGCTTCAGTTTGTGGGAAAAAAAAATTACTTTTCGACAAGTGAAGAATGATTTTGTCGATGATACACGGAGTGGGAATGGGAAGATCATACCGGGTAAGAAGGAGAAGATGAAAAAGACCGTCACGGGTAAGAAGCTTTACAATCGGACCTCTCGTGGTTGTAAACCTTTGCTCCCTTTTCTTCTCTCTATACATATGGTTTCTTGATTGGTCTAGTCACATGAAGGATTCTCTAAAAACGGATGATAGTGGAACCCGAGCAGAGAGTACCGGATTTCATCAAAGGAGGTGTAGATATAGTCAGTGTACATTGTGAGCAGTCACTATCCATTTACATCGCACAGTCAATCAAGTACTAATGTTTTGCATCCTTCCACTTTTAAATTTTCTTGCTTCTGGTGGAGTATTCTTACAATCAATCTTAACTTGTGCTGCTCCAATGGGTGTTTAGATAAAAAGCTTAGGGGCTAAAGCTGGAGTTGTCTTAAATCGTGGAACCCCATTGACTGCAATAGAATATGCCTTGGATGGTGAGTTTTCCTGTCCTAACACCGCACTCGCTTTGGCGAGAAATGTTAAGGTTGTTATCATTGTATTGTTTCTGAATCAGTGGTGGATCTGGTCTTCATAATGTCGGTCAACCCTGGGTTTGGTGGACAAAGCTTATCGAAAGCCAAGTAAGAAAATCTCGGATTTGAGGAAAATGTGTGCACAAAAGGTATCGATCCACTTACTTCTCTCTGAATGAAAGTCTCTTCTCTTCTCAAAACATTGTGTTTGTGTGATTACTACAGGGAGTAAACCATGGATTGAAGTTGACGGTGGTGTCACTCCGAAGAATTCATACAAGGTAGAGCTCGAAAACTCTTCTGAGTTTCACATCTGAGCTCAGTGATATAATAACAAAGTGGTTAGAGACTGACAAATCGATCACTGATATCGACGTACTAACTGGTCTTCGGCAGGTCTGATGTTATTTATATGAGAACCAAATCTGCAATGGGGCTTAACCTTCTCTTTGTGTATCCTTTCTTAAATTAGTAGATTCGTGCTCCCAAATA